CCCTGTCTCCTGAACGGGCTGGGGTTCCCCACATGGATCAGAGCATGCTGGGGCCCAAAAGGCTACCACTCAACCCCCATGCCCCAATTCCTGGCATATTTGCTTATAGGAAAAACCTCAAATTAGGTTTGGGGCCCTAGATTCCTGTTTAGGTTCCATCTCCAATTCTCTGTATGTCCTTAGGGAAGTCTCTTAACTTTCTCTGCGCCTCTTTCACGTTTCCCTCATCTGTAGTAGCAGAATTCTCCTAAGGCCCCCAATGACTTTTGCCTTCATATATTCCCCTCCCATTGAGAGTGGGCAGAACCTATGAATAGGGTATCACTCTCATGATTAGGTTATGCTCCACGTGCAGTTGACCTTGAGATAAAGACATTATTTTGATAATTTCAGGATAACATTATCTATTAGCCTGACCTAATCACATGACCCCTTTAAAAGTAGAAAGGCTTCTCCAGCTGCTTCTGGAAGAGGAAATTAGAGAGATTTGAATCAAGAGAGGAATCCATGTGTGCGACGCTCCCTTGATCAGATGGAGGAGGCCACAGCACAAGGACCTGAGAGTGCATCCCAGCCAGTAGCTAGCAAGCCAACGTGACCACAGCCCTACAGCTAAAAGGAACTAAATTGTGCCGACATCCAGTGAGCTTGGAAGAGGATCAGAGCCCCAAATGAAATTGAACCCACAGCCAATACCGCCTTTCATCTGGTGAGACCCTGAGCAGAGAACCCAGCCATGTCATGCCTGGCCTTCTGACCTCCTGAACTGTGGGATGATAAACAGGTGCTGTTTTAAGCTGATAAATTTGTGGAAATGTATTACATGGCTACAGAATAGTATTCTAGATACATGTAGGATAAAAAGATATGGTGATGGAAAACAGATCTTTGGAGGTCACCACTGACTTTAGCAAAAGCAATTTTATGAAGTCATGGGGACTGGGTGGAGTGAGCAAGAAAGAAGGGAAGAGTGAACATTATCACTTCAGGGGCTTTCATGGTAAGGGAGACCGGAAAAGAGTGGTTGTTGAAAGAGGATGTCGGGTCATGGGTTTTTTTGTTTGTTTTATAAAATGGGAATAAGGACAGCTTGTTCAAGGTGGTGGAACCATCCAATAGAGGCACAGCTGCTGGAGAGACATTTTTGAATAACACACCGGAGGGTTCTCTGCACGGACATTCATCCAGACACATTACAGGGACAGGGAAGGAGGCAGAGATGGTGATGGAGTGTGTGGGATTTCTCTTCTAATTGCTCCCATTTTCTCAGAGAAACAGGACTTGAGGTCATGAGTTGAGTGTGAAGACCTGGAAGAGGTGATGGAGGTCTTGCGGAGAGGAGAAGGTGGAGAGAGAGTGGACTGGGCAATATGAAGTGATTGCCAGCCATCAAAGGATCCACTCCAGGATCTTGGTCTGGCATTTAAAAATAAGATCAGTCAGCAAGATTGTGGGATTTCATTTTTCAGCCCTGTTCAGCTTGAGGGGGTGGGTAGAGGCAGGGCGGGTGGGGTTAGACTTGAAAGGAAGAGTGTATGCAAGATGATTATATTGATGGGCTGTGAATTCTAAGCCAGATAAGGAAGGAAGTGAGAGGATAAGGGGAGGAATGTTGGTGGGATTAATAGCGTAGGGCAAACTACTGTCCATAGGCCAAAGCCAGCGTACTGGCCTTTTTCTGTTGACCTTTTTTTGGTTTAATTTTTTTTATTGTGGTAAAATACATATAACATTAAATTTGCCATTCTAACCATTTTAAAGTGTACAAGTCAGAGGCATTAATTACATTCACAATGTTGTGCAATCATTACCACTATTTCCAAAATTTTTCCATCTCCCCAAACAGAAACTATAGTCATTAAGCAATAACTTCCCATTCACCCATCCAACCCTTGGTAAGCTCTAATCTACTTTCTCTATCAATGAATTTGCCTATTTTAGATATTTCACATGCGTGCAATCATACAATATGTGATCTTTTATATCTGGCTTATTTCACTTAGCATTGTTTTCAAGGTTCATCCATGTTGTCGTATGTATCAGATCTTCATTCCTTTTTAAGCCTAAATAATATTCCACTGTATGGATAGGCCACATTTTGTTTATCTAGTCATCAGTTGATGAATAGTGGGTACTTTGCACCTTTTGACTATTGTGAATAATGCTGCTGTGAACACAACTGTACAATGATATGTTTGAGTCTCCGTTTCATTCTTTGCATACATACCTAGGAATGGAATTACTGTGGCATATCGTATGTAACCTCTGCCTTGTTTTGTATGGCTCACAAACTAAGAGTGGTATGGTAGACAGATTAATGCCCCCCCACAAATATTTATATTCTAAACCCCAGAATCCTTGGATGTTACCTTACAAAAGAGACTTTGAACATGTGACTAAGTTAAGGATTTTGAGAATGGGAAATTATTCTGGATTATCTGGGTCGGTCCAAGGTCATCATAAAAGGGAGTCAGGAGGGTCAGGGAGGATGTGATGACAAGCAAAAGTTGGAACAACACACTTTGAAGATGGGGGAAAAAAAAGACTACAAGCCAAGAAATCTGGGCCACTTCCAGAGGCTGGGAAAAGCAAGGAAATAGCCCTCCACAGAACTTTCAGAAGGAACACAGCCCTTCTGACACCTTAATTTTAGCCAAATATATATAACCCATTTGGACGTCGGACCTCCAGAGAATAAATTTGTGTTGTTTTAAGATACTAAATTTATAGTAATTTGTTACAGTAGCAATAAGAAACCAATACAGATAACTTTTACATGTCCTGTACAGAAATTTGCTGATTCCTAATTTAGAGCAAGAAGGTGACTGGTAGACTCAGGTGTTAAGCATCTAAGGGATTTTACTGAACACCTTCTGAGGGCTCCAGAAGGCACAGTGAACTTGAGTTTAAAGTTGGGAAGGGGAGGGAGACAGGGTCAGATTAAGAGATGTATAGAACCTCCTGGGAATGGGGGACAGCCTGGATTTGGGGGATTTATTATGCTACTGCCATAGTGATAGAGAGTTGGAGTATAGGACCGGGGGGGGGGGGGGGGGGTGATGGTATGTCAGACCTTAGGGCAGAAGCTGCTGATCCAGCTCAGAGGATTTTGGGTTTGTACATCTAAGACAGCTGAGGGCTCTCTGTGAGAAGGCGCCTTTGTAGAAATGGAGAGGCCAGTCTTAGTGGTAGGGCTCATAGGGACGAGGCTGGGTCAAGGAAGTTCCATAGAAGAAAGAGCATGGGGATAAATAAACTTCTGGCGGTTATTCATTCGTTCATTCATTCATCCAGGCACAGTACATGTTGTTCAGTGTATAGTTATGGGGCTCTGTATCCTGTTTTCCCCAAATGTCATCGTTTCCCGAACATATTCCCTGTTCCTACAGTGAAGCCTTCCAGGGACTCTGGGTTAAGTGGCTTCAGCTCTGTGCTTCGAGAAACTGTCCAATGGGTTGCTTTGGGGATTGGAAAACATGCATGCAAAACTGCTCAACATCTACAAGGTGCTCGCACTAATAATAATAATAATAATAATGATATTTCCTAATAATAACAGTAATCCTTGTTATTAGTAGGAATATTTCATTTAGGAGGTGCGATTTGGGCAGAACCTTAAAAGGCAGATGGGATTGGGAACAGTGGTAGGCAGGAGGCAGGACATTCCAAGGCAGGCATGGTCTTCCCAAGCCAGGGGTCAACCCTCCAGCAGCCAGAGGAGAGCCTGGGGAAGGTACATAAGGATCTGGTGAGGGTGGCGGCGGAGGATGGACGTTCGTAGTTAGCCAGTGTCCTTCTCTTCCGCGCTCCAGCCATCACCCCTCGTAGAAAGCGCACCCTGGCGGAGGTGTCGGAGGTGCAAGTCTCGCATTGGCTTCGCCATGAATGAGTAGCTGCAGCCTTCCGTCCACCCAGGCCAAGAATCCTGTCTTCCTGCAGTCCCGCGGAGAGGGAAAGCGTGTGTGTCGAAGGTTAGGACGGGACCCGGCAGTAGCCACCAGACCTCCCAGCCGGGCTGGCAGCCTGCCTCCGGGCCACTGCCGTCCTGGCCTCGCTCCACCTTTCCCTCCCGGCCAGGGCCCCAGCTTCCTAGAGCTGCCCAAGGATCCGAGGCGAACGGCGCGCCCCCTTTGCATTCCTCTCCTCGGCTCCGGGATTCCCAGGCTGTGGAGCCGGGGCCGGGCGGCCGGGCAGGGGAGGAGGGTGGGAGGCGGTAGGCTGGCCGGCCTCCTAAGTCGGCCCCAAGTTGCATATGGGAAGCGGTGGCTGTGACGCAAGTTTCCAGGGGGCCCTGAGCTCGGAGGGAGCGCGCCAGAGTGGCTCCAGTCTGTGCAATTACAATCGTGAAAAAGGAAGAGCCCCGAGCAGCACCCCAGGCCTCCAGGCCGCCTTCGCCGGGCCCAGACGCGCGTCCCCGGCCCACGAGGGCCGTAAAGCGCGCAGACCCTGCACTGGGCAGTCCCGCCGGACCCTGGCCGCACCGGCTGGGCTCACTCGCAGTGCCTGGCCTTTTTTTGTTGCTGTTGTTTTTTTTTGTTTTTCAACGCTTGCCAACCTGTCAGCTGATGGACCTCATCACCCATAGTGGCGCATGTAGCTCGGCCGCAGCTCGCTCCATTCACGCAGCACCCTCCAAGTCAGCCCGCCGCCCCTAGCTCCCAGCGCCCAGGGGAGACCCACAGACCCCAGCCTTCCCTCTGCCCCCGGGGGTCCGAGCCCCTCTCGCCCTGGCTTCGCGCCGCCCCGGGGGCGCTGCAAATAGTCCTTTGTTTACATGCAATTCCTTACTCCGCGGAAGGAGGCCGGGGGAGTGCTGAGTTTTCACCAGCTGTTTCCCGCCTTGAAACAGACATCTGATCAGCTGCAAACACACACACACACACACACACACACACGCGCGCGCGCGCGCACACACACACACACACACACACATACACATATACACGCGCCCGGGGAGGCAGGCCGGAGAGACCTCCCTCCCGCCCCTCCCTCCCCTCGCCGCCGCCGCCGCCGCCGCCGCCAGCATCTGGGACTGGCCGATTCTGCACCTCCGTCCGGCGCTGCCCTTTGATTCGGATTTCCATCTTGCATTCTCCGGCGGACCGCGGGACCCGGCTCGTGCAGAGAAGGGGGGCCGATCGCTATGGAGTATTTCATGGTGCCCACTCAGAAGGTGCCCTCTTTGCAACATTTCAGGAAAACAGAGAAAGAAGTGATAGGAGGGCTTTGTAGGTGTGTACTCCTTCTCCCCCCCATCCCCTTCCTACAATTGCAGCCCCAGGCCAGCCAGCCCGGGCGGGCGCGCGTGTGCGCACGCATGGCCCGCGCCGCCGACCCCGTTCGCCTTTCTTAGATGCCTGGGCGGCTGCAGCCCCGCACTCTGGTCTCGCGCCGTCCGGGGACCCTCCTCCCTCGGAACGTGGGAGCCCTGAGCGGCCCCGGTCACTTTTGTCCGCTGCAGGCGGGCGAGTCGCGACGTTTGTAATTGCAAACAGACCCACGTGGTTCTGCAGCAGTCCCGGCCATGCTTGGTGCTGGTGGCTTCCCCCGCGCGTCCTTCTTCCCCCTCCCGCATTGGCTTCCTTCCTCTCCCTCCCTCCTCGCTGCCTATGGGTGATCCCCCGAAGGGGTCTGGGGGGCCATGGGGGAAGCGGGGGGCCGCGGGCGGGCGGCTACAATGCAGCCACGCCGCAGCTCCGGGCGTGGGGGGGGGCGGGGAGCCGGGTAGTGTGCGTGTTTGCACGACGCGGGGCTGCAGCGGGGTTGGGGGCGTGCTCGCGTGGGGGTGTAGGAGTGGGCGGGACCCTAGGGGCCAGCGCGGCAGGTCCGGAGCGCCGCGGACGGGCACGTTGCGACCGCTAGCTTGCTTCCTCGCCGCCCGCGCCCGGGCGCTGTTTACTAGCGAGGCCTGGACGTGACTCTGCAGCCCTCTTGGAGTAGGCGGACCTCGGCGCGCCGCCTCGCGGGAGCTGTAGTTTTACCCGTCCCTCCGGTGCGGCATTGTGGGAGCTGTAGGCGCGCCCGGGCCACGCTTTCCCCGCACAAAGCTTGGCCCCCGCGGGCGGGATAGGCAAGGCAGGCCAGGTAGGGGAGCGTTTGGGGCAGTGGACACCAGAAGCCGCCCCGAGTCTCACCAGGCACTGCTCTTGGGCCTCTACCGCAAACTTTCGCATGCCACGGCCCTCCCCCAGTCATAAACCGAAAGCGTCAGGTCTCCCAACTGGGTAGGTGGATGGGTGGTCCGAGGTCTGCCGTTCTCCCCAGGAACCACTTTACAAGTTTGACTTGGGTTGCCCCAGATCCACCCTTCACCAAAGGGTGTTGAGTTCGCTCTGTACTTCCACCAGAATCACCCTGAACACTTGTTAAAATATCGGTGCCTGTAACTCCGCTCGCTAGAAGGGCCTGGGCATGTACATAGTAAACACCACCGGCGGCACGGCAGTGCTTCGTGGGGGATATCCGGGTGCCCAAGTTTGGTCCTAGCAGTCCCTTTCCTGAGGCACTGCTCTTAAGAGTGAAATGGCTCCCCAGGTTTGAGGCCACGTGCTCTCGCGCCGGGGAAGGCAAAGCTCGGGTATTGAAGGAGGTGGAGCCCCCAGGTGGTGTGGCCCAGTCTAGTGGACACCAGGGAATGCAGAAACCAGGTTGGGGGAAAGTCGCTGCTCGTGTATTGCCCACCCCCCACCCCACTTAGCGCTCACCTAAAATACTCGGAAGTACAGGGAGGTTGAACCAGTTGGTGGGTTTTTAAACTAGCAGGGCCGCCCTGAGTACGGGCCCTTCTGAAAGGCCACCTGGGAGGTCTAGCTGTAAAACGTTAAAGGAAAACAAAGATTCTGGCGCTCTTACTATGTTCTAGGGATTTGTTTTGCTAGATTTTTCTCTGAATTGTCAGTCTTCATGTGTTAAGTGGCTTTATGATTCCTATGTGGGATGAGGACACAGGCTTGGCAAAGGAACATTTACAGCAAGTGGTGGGGCTATGATCCCAGGGCCGAACTCTTAGCCCCTTATTCTTAGCCCCTGAGAAACGAAATGAGAAGCGCTGCGGGTTGCTCAGAGGAGGGCTGGGCAATGGGGAGGAGGTGTTGAGCTGCTTCACATGCCAGAGAGGACATTGCAGGCCCTAATCCTGGGCAGGCTTGGTGCGGTGGATCCTGGCTCCACTCTGTCCCTGTCCCTAGCCCCCCCTTTAGAGGAGTCCATCTGTCCCCCAGGGGTGAAGTGCTCAAAGTGGCAGGATCCCCCTACAGGGCTGGGCATGGGTACATACTCAGCCTGCCTTGCTGGGAGACAATGTCAGTTTGTGCACTGGGTGTGAAGTTGGGGCCTCTGGGTTTGTTCATTTTTAGAAGGGGTCGTGGGGTGAGGTCAGAGACCTTTAGAAGATGGAGGTTGTGGGCGGGATAGGACCTTCTGGACAGATGGACTTTTCAGGCTGATGGACTTTGTTCCATACTTCAGAATAGTAGGAGTCCCTGCCTCTTCAGAGCCCCACCCCAGCACTGCATAGCAGGGTCCTCACAAGCTTGTGGTTTTGGACCTGTCACCTAACTGCTCTTAGCCTCTGTAAAACAGAGCATGTGAAGTATGGCTACACATATGGAAAGTGCCTGGTAGCTGTTAAAATGGCTCTCAAACTCTTAGAATCAGGAGTTTAGGGACTGCCCTCAGGGGGAAAAGAGACAAGCTGCTCTCAGGACTTAGAAAACAATTAGGGGCTTTTAAATGTGTGTTGGGTCCCTGATCTTGTATTTACAAGGCACCTACTTTGTGCCAGATTTGAGGATATCACAATGAACCAGAACAGGCCCCTGCCCTAAGAGTTCACAGTCTGGTGGTGCTAAAGGGTCTTGTCAGCCCTTTAAGGGAGATTCATGGGTTACCCTGCAGTCCTGGGTACTAATCCTGGGAGAATAACCCTGGGTATCCTATTGTCCTCAACCTCACTCTTCTCTTTTCTCCTTCTCTTTTCTGTTTTTTAAACTTCACCCGAGGACATTTTTCATTGCTTTTAGAGAGAGAGAGGAAGGGAAAGAGAGAAACGTTGATTGGTTGCCTCCCATATGCACCCCAAACCAGGGATCAGATCTGCAACCTAAGTATGTGCCCTGACTGGAAATTGAACCCACAATCCTTTGGTTACAGGGATGACACTCTAACCAACTGAGCTACACTGGCTAGGGCTCCCCTCCTTTTTTAAATTTCACCATGGCCCTGTGAAGTGAGGCTGTATTCCCCCATTTTACAGATGGGGAGACTGAGGCTTTGAGAGATGAAGTGGCTAAGCTTGGGGTTCCACAGTTAGTAAGTGGCAGGGCTGGAGTTTGCACTTGAACCCATGGACTGTAGGGCTCCCTCTGAGGTGCTGGAGAAGCTGTGGGGAGGTGGTGCATTCTGGGACTGAGGGCGGGGGTGGCAGGATGTTTGGAATGGGATCTATGGATAGAAGCAGCGGGGATGGGCGAGGGCCCCAGAATGCTTTAGTACCTGCTGCAGAGAGAAGGATGAGCACCTTGGGCATCCTTGGTCAAGGTCATCGTTCTTTTGTACTTTGGAATATAGGAGAAATGCTGTGTGCCTCTCAGACTCTAGCTGTTGAGCAGCAGGTGTATGAGTGACTTTGGGACAGTGTGAAATGACAGTTGTCAGTGGCTAATTTGAGGCTAGAGCTGGGCAGGGGTGTCTAAGGAGGTTGGGGGATATCCATTGCCTTTGGGCTGGGCTGGGCGCAAGGGACAGTTACTGGTCAGGATCTAGACCTGAAGAGCATGCTCCCTGCCCTGAGCCTCTGGTTGGGATGCTGGTGTTGTTCCCAGGGGGCTGTCTGGAGGTACTCTGGTAGTGGAGGTGCTCTGGTCTTGGCACCTGAGGCTAGTACTCAAATTGTTCCTTGTCAAGAGCCCTTCCTTCTACCCAAGGCAAGGCAGTCCCTGGCCAGCTCAAAGAGACTGTTGGAGGACAGTCGGTAGGGAGAGGAGCAAGATATACTTGGTGTCAGTGGACCCAGGCTACCTTTGTTGCTCACCTGAGGGGCCTGAAGTTGATGTGGAAGGTGGTGGTGGTGGGGGCGGTTGTAGAGCTTTGACTGTAAATCATGTTTACCTCTACAAAACTCGAGAGAGAAATGCAAAAATATTTTAAGGCATTTGCACTATAGGCTGGAATTTCCAATTCGCCATCCTTCATAGGAGTCCCTGGTTGGCCAGCACTTCACCAGTTAGATCCCCTGGTTAGACAGCGTTTCACCGATCAGAATCCCTGATTACCCATGAATCCAGCAGTCTGTGCTCCTGCTTAGTTGCATCTATTAAAGAAACTGTCAGCTGGTACTTCTAGGGCTGTTTAGGTGAGTAAGAGGGAACTGTAGCTTTGGGCAGAACTCTTTTCTGGGATTTAGGTCTGCACCAGGTTAACCAGCAGCTGGTTCCTGAGCCAAGAGCCTGAGGGGCTTACGAATTTGATGTTGAAGAGGACAGAATGGAACATTTAGAAGAGTCAGGCTGGCAGCTTCAGATGAGCAGGAGACAACACAGCCCCTTGAATACCACTCCCCACCCCTGTCCTCTGGGAACTTCGTCTGAGGCTTTTAGACCTGGGGTCCTGGGGTCTTCTTTGGTCTCCTCCATTCTTGGGCATCCTGGGGATAAGAGAGATGCAGAGGGTTTGCTTCCCATAGCTGAGGTTTCGTGGGCAGTGAGCTGGCTTGAGGGGCAAGTGTCAGGGATTTGGGGCACTGCCTCTTGCAGCCACATATAGGGCTCTGATAAACACTGGGCTGTATGTGTGAACCCTTAGTAGAGGGTGCCATCAGCTGATGGGGAAGGAGAGCGTGAGCTTTGGTGCCTGCAGGTGCCTGCTGCTCCCTGGTCTGGCTGCCTGACCTTGGGCTTGTCACTTCCCTTTACAGGACCCTGGATTCCTCCTTGCAGTATGATGATGCAGCCACCTTGCAGGGTTTTTGTGAGAGTCAGACAGAGAAACATGTAAAAGAGTTCTGTGAATGACAGTAGGGGTTAACATGATGGCAGGGCGTAGCTGTGCTTGGTCCTTTCTACATGGGTAACTCTCACCTGTCTGTTGGGATGTGCTGCTCTGGGACAGCGCAGAACCCATTCTGCTCTGTGGCGAGACCTCTCAGGGGTAAGAGTAGGGCCCTGGGATCCAGGTTCAGCTCCCAGCTCTACCACTTGCTGAGCTATTCCCTTTCTAAGCCTTTGTGTCCTCATCCCACACAGGAATCATAAGGCCACATAACTCAGGAAGACTGACCGTTCAATGAGAAAATCTCAGCAAAGTGAGTCCTTAGCACATTATAGTAAGAACTTTAAAGACTTCAACCCCCCCCCCCCAAACAAAAATAGTATTACCCTATTGCTAGACCCTCCAGGTTGGCCTTTTGTAAGGACTAGCACTCAGGGTGGCCCAAGGGTGGGCGTGAGGCTCCTTTTTTGATCCATTACTACTATGGTCTGCTCTGGCCTTTGGGCATCACCAGGAGGGACCCAGGGACTAGGTGAGTCGGGTTCTCTCTATATCTGTCTTGACAAGGAGAGGGGTGCTGCCAGGCAGTATCACTGGTGGCTTGGCTTCCTATGGCATCTCCCCATCTTTTATGGCCCCAAAGACTCCTGATTTTAATCCATCCACCTCAGAGCTTCTGGAGGGCTCTGCTGGAGGGCAGAGCTTCTGGGTGACTGCCAGGCCCAGGAGGCTGGACTCTATTCTCCCCTAAAGGGCAGGCACGCTTCTTTGTGTCAGATCTCTGACCTGCATCTTCAACCACCCCAATCACTCCCCCTGTAGGGGCAGGGAAACTGGGAGAAGTGGTGGAGTCAAATACCTGGCTGTCTGACCTTCAAACTGTGTTCCTCCCTTTTATGAGCCTGAAGCCCCATCTGCCAGGCAGGGGTCATGAACTCCCTTTACAGCGCTGACATTCCGAGGCCCTGCAAGGGATCTGTACCCTGTGAGAGGGGGTCCAGGGAGGACCTGGGGGGACTGGTGGAGGAGAGATCTTGTCTCTGGACCCCCCGCAGCAGCCGATGTGGCTCCCACTCCTGGCCCTTCCCCAGCTGACTACCTTCTGTTGGGAGAGGAGGCTGAGGTGCAGGAAGGGGCAAGGACAAGTGCAGTGTCCTGTAGGGAGCCAAGGTGGGACGGATTGGGTGGGCTGGGGGACCAGAAAAGGCCTTGGCTGTCTCTAGCTATTGCAGATGTGTCCCCTTCGTGGTTTTTATGCAGATTCCTTTCTGTCTTGGGCTGGACATGGGGGTCTGGTATAGCAGGGGAGTAGGACCAGGCTCTTTTTTGAGCTCAGGCTCCTCCATCTATGGAAACAGGACTGCCCAGAGTCCTTTCCCCATTACCTCAGACCCAAGAGGGTGAGCTCAGGCCTGGACCAGTCACCCTGGGGCGGGTTGGGGGGGCTCAGGATGAAGCCAGGGCTGTGGCTTTGGGTGGGGCTAGTGGCCTCTTCTGGGAGCCCCGCATCTGGAAGCCCCGCATCTGGAAGCCATCAGGTCAGGGGCGGGGGAGGGGGTGTTACAGGAGAGGACCAGGAAGGGGGGCATGCCTTCTTGAGGCCACATAGAGGCCCACCCCTTGGGAGCAGTGGCTTTGGGTCCACAGGCTCTATCACCATCTCTGCCTCTGGCCAACACCTCTCAGCCCGCAACTTCACCCCCTTCCACTGGCTGCCTTCTCTCTCACCCCACAGGCTGCTGTTCCTGCAAGAAGCAATCACATAATATGCAATAACATTGCCCACTGCATTCTGGGAGCCTTGTTTCTCTGGCACAGGGTGGTGTGCCTCTTGGAGTAGGTGGGCACCAGTGAGAACTGTCCCTAGGGGTGGTTGGCTTGGTATCTGCTCCCTGAAGCGAGTGGTATCTGTCTTGTCTTTGAAGTCTTAGCACAGGGTGGCTGGGGCCAGGCTAGGGGTGCTTATCGCTGGAGACGTGGCTGTGGGGATGCAAAAGGAGTAGGGATGTCTTCTTTAGGCTTCAACCCTAACTCTGAAAGTGATAGTCCTTCAGGTGCATAGCATGGAGCTCAGAGGAGTCCTGGGAGCAGGTGTCTCCTATTGTCACCTGGGCCCACCTGCATCAGAATCTCAGGGATTCTTGCTAGGGCATGCAGGTTTTGGGCCCCACTCAGACGTGCTTGCCAGACACTGGGGCTGGGACCTGGGGAGTGCATGGTGACTTTGATACCTATGCATTGCGAAGCATGCTGCTCCATCCTCCTCCTGATCTGCTGGGGTGTAGGCATCAAACAGATCTGGCATCGTTTGCAGGGGGAGAAAGGAAAGTTACACCAGGGTCTTCTGGAGACAAACTATAAAGATAGGGGCCCACTGGGGACAGGGCATGGAGGACACCTAGCCTGAGTGTGTCCTCTCCTCCCTGGCAGTCTTGCCAACATTCCACTGACCCCTGAAACTCAGCGGGACCAGGAGCGTCGGATTCGGAGGGAGATTGCCAACAGCAATGAGCGGAGGCGCATGCAGAGCATCAATGCGGGTTTCCAGTCCCTCAAGACCCTCATCCCCCACACAGATGGAGAGAAGCTCAGCAAGGTGGGTGAGGGCTGGGAGGGCTTCCTGGACTAGGTGGTGGGCTCAAGCAGGGAGAAGGAAGTCAGCTTCAGTAGATGCTGCCAGCTGGGGCCCCTGACTTGTCCTTCCCACCCTCAGGCAGCCATTCTCCAGCAGACGGCGGAGTACATCTTCTCCTTGGAGCAGGAGAAGACCAGGCTCCTGCAGCAGAACACACAGCTCAAGCGCTTCATCCAGGTAGCACCTGCAGAGGCTCCCGTCACCTCAATACCTGTCCTCCTCCTGGCTTGCTCCTCCTGGCATGGGCATGTCTGGGCTCAAACTCTGGCCTGGGACTCTGATGAGGCTGCAAGTCTCACCTTCCCCACTGACACACCTACTTCAGGCACTTGCCTTCCTGCCTGGGCCTCAGTTAACCCATCCATAAAGTGCAGTTGAGCGACTCTGGAAAGAACTAGATGATTTTTGGCAAGCAGGTCCTTTCTCCCTCCGTTTCTGGCCTGTGGCCACTGTTGGATTTGCAGAATGGGATTCCCAGTGCCAGAGCACCCGGGTTGACAGCTTTGGGGGCTGCGATGGAGCCCTCCAACCTTCCCATTGGTGGTGGTGGTACGAGGGTGTCAAGGCACACTCACCAACCCCTTGGGGTCCCCAGGAGCTGAGTGGCTCGTCCCCCAAGCGGCGGCGGGCAGAGGACAAGGATGAGGGCATTGGCTCCCCAGACATCTGGGAGGATGAGAAGGCAGAAGACCTGCGGCGGGAGATGATTGAGCTACGGCAGCAGCTGGACAAGGAGCGCTCAGTGCGCATGATGCTGGAGGAGCAGGTGAGGCAGGCAAGCAGATGGTTGGGGTGGGGGAATTCCAGTCCCTCTCTCTCCCTTTTCTCCTGTCCCTGCTTCTCTTGAGCACTTATTTACAGGAGCATCTGCTTTGTGCCAGGTCTAGGAAAGGGGGGTCCAGTGGGAAGCAAATCAGACAGGTACCTTTTGTCCTCAGGGGTCACCATCTGTGTTGGGTAGAAGGATTAGTCAGAGGATTTTAAACCGTCAAAATGCAGCTGTGATAAAGGTCCTGTAGGAAGCATGGGCATTGGGAGGGGGGTTTGGGCTGATTCTGGAGGAGCCGCCCCATCGCTTCTCTGTCAAAGTGATTTGAGCTGAGGTTGGAAACTGGGCCAGGGGGTCAAGTCTCACAGTTAACCAGGCAGAGAGAGAAGGGTACTCTAAGAAAGAGGAAACAGCTTGAGCAAAGGCCCTGAGGCTGGAAGGAAGGATTGGAGAAATGAGGGAGTATGGCATGAGGGAGGTCATGGCAGGGGAGAAGATGAGTCAGAGAGGGCTTGGCGGGCTATGGTAGGACTTTGGTCTCTATCCCAGGTCTTTTCTTGAGGGTGGCAGGCTCCTGCTAGGGTTTGCAGCAGGAGTAAATGATCTGCCTTGCAAAGCGTAGAGTATGGGGAAGCTGACCTTAGCAGCTCTGAGGGCCCCGCACTAAAGGAGAAGTCAGGGTATCGTTCAGGCCCTGCCCCCTGAACCTGCCTCTCTGTCCTCAGGTTCGTTCTCTGGAGGCCCACATGTACCCGGAAAAGCTCAAAGTGATCGCACAGCAGGTGCAGCTGCAGCAGCAGCAGGAGCAGGTGCGACTGCTGCACCAGGAGAAGCTGGAGCGGGAACAGCAGCACCTTCGGACCCAGGTGGGTGGGAGGCACCCGGGAGGGGCTGTGTGGGCAGAGGCTGGAGCTCTCAGACTCAGCATTGGTGCCTCAGGGCTCTGCAGGGCAGACCCAGGGCCTATAAAGACATTCCTGGTTTCCGGGTTATCTTACATACATTATTACATGAATCTTTGTAGCAGCCCTTTGAGGCTGTTTTACTGATCAGGAAGGTGAGGCCCAGAAATGCTAAATAACTCATCCAAGATCCTCAGGGATTGGGGCAGGAATTTGAACCCTGGCTGTCTAAATCCAGAATCTAAACTCCTGGCTACCACTGCATTACATGTTGGGGTGCTTGCCTGGCACTGAACAACGAAGGGGCCATAGGTTCTTGGATGGTTGGAAGCCCCTTTCTAGGCTCTGTTTCCTTTGTTGCTTAAGAGGGTAGGAGGTCCCAAACTGCCTGGTCTCGCATGAGTGGTTGGCAGAGGCTGCCTCGAGGCACTGGGCAGGGGGAGATGGTTTTGGAGGTTTTGGAGATAGGATGCTATACCCTCTGTAACTGCCGGAAGGGAAGGGGAAACTCCCTGAACCTTTGGAGAAAGACTGAGGGCCTTTGTTTCATAGCTTCTGCCCCCTCCGGCCCCCACCCACCATCCTACGGTGATTGTGCCAGCACCGCCACCCACTCCCTCCCACCACATCAACGTTGTCACCATGGGCCCCTCCTCAGTCATCAACTCAGTTTCTACGTCCCGGCAAAATCTGGACACCATTGTGCAGGTACCTGGGCTCATGGAAGGGGCAACACATGGGGGCTGTCCTCTGGGAACAGACCCTTTGGGGGAGATCAGAAAGCAGAGACTGAAGGGAAATGAGATAGGGCTTGAGTGTGGGGGGAGGTCTGGAAGCTGGGTGTCTCTGTCTCCATCCTGAGTCTCTGTTTGCATGGGTTTGGGGTCAGGGGCTATGTTGGGAAGGTGAGGGGCAGAAATGGGGGAGAGGATGGCCTAGAAAACCTTGTTGCTTCCCTCCACATGAGGTTTGTTGAGAGGGTCCTTTGCTTCCGTAGCCCCCAGCTTCAGAGTTCCTATATCCAGCTCTTGGTTGGTCCAGAACTTCCTCTCGCCTCTATCTTCTAGGACCTGAGATGGGGATGGAGGTGGCAGTGACTGGGAGGGTAACAGTTAAGCCTCCTACAGAGGAGGAAGCAACAAGGTGAGAGCTCTGTAGGTCAGGCGGAAGTCACTGCTGTACCCATCATGGGGCAGAGACCCCTGGGGAGCGCTGATGATACCACAAAGAAAGAAGTAAACATAAACCAAAAGAAGCCCATCAACCCCTGGACCTAAATGTAGTTGCACATAATTCCAGCAAATTGAATAATAAAATTAATAACAAAGACCTTCTATTAATAAACAGACCAACTTTAAAGGATATAAACAAACTAAATGCTGGTGATGTCCAAGCAACCCTGCCCTGTCATCTCCAAGGGGTTTTTCAGCTAAGGAGAGGATTTTACTACTCCTGACTCTGGCAGGCCCCCTGCTGCTTTGCCAGGCTTGCTTCGGGACCTTTCTGGGGTGTGTATAGATGGTGGCTGTCCGCATGCCTCCAGCCATTCTCATCATAGCCTGTCCTCCTAGGCAATCCAGCACATCGAGGGAACCCAAGAAAGGCAGGAACAGGAGGAGGAGCAGCGTCGAGCCGTAATTGTGAAGCCAGTCCGAAGCTGCCCAGAGGCCCAGGCCTCTGACACTGCCTCTGATTCAGAGGCCTCGGACAGCGACGCCATGGACCAGAGCCGGGAGGAGTTGGCAGGGACTGGGGGGCTTCCCTGACCACCCCCCCAGCCCTCCTCTCCCTTCTGGGGGCTTGAGGGGGCCGGGGCAGCAACAGGGAGTACATCAGGCCAGCGAGTGAGGAATTTTTACAAAATTACAACGTCATTTGGGTCTCTTTTATGACCTCTTTTTCAATACTGTAAATCGACCTTTGAGCAAAGGCCACCCAACCTGAGGTCCTGGGGGCTGGGGTGGTGGGAGTGTGTGGGAGCACCTGGACACCTGGGGCTGGGCCTCACAGGGAGGCTGGGGGAGCTGACACTTGAGGTGCCTGGCCTCTCTCTGCCAAAACGCATTTTTTTTTTTCATTTAAACATGTTTTTAAGAACAGGGAAAATCAAACAAAACCCCAATGGATTTCTGCCTTCCCTAGAGCTAGCCCTACGACTGTCAGTTTTTAATTCCCCCTTCCCTTCACTTTTTGGTTTTCTTCTTTCTCTAAGCACTTACATGGGTTGGGGGGCTGGCTGGGTCAGGACTCTCTGGGGGTCCCGGGTGGAAGTTGCTTCTTCTTTGGGGTTTGCTGCTGCCCTTTTGCCCTGCCCTTCCTTCCCTGCCCCACCTCAGCACTAGGATTTGCCACTCTTCACCACCAGCTGGCCCTCACCTCTCCTTCCAGATTTCCTGTCTTCAACCCTCAAAAATGTCTTTTGTCTTTCTTTTTTTGTTTTGTTTGTTTGGTTTTTTTTTCCTTGGTTTTTGTTTGTTTGTTTTTGGATTTTTTTTGTTTTTTGTTTTTTGGTTTTTTTTTTTTACAATTTTGAGGTCTTTGTGTTCAAGGAGAGCTATTATATTTTGTTAAAGAAAGTGGGGGGCGGGGAACCAAGAGGCCACCATGCCTTTATAAAGAAACAAAATAAAGTTTGTACTTTGTTTTTTAGATTGTGTCTCTTGGGTGCATGCTATCCTGTCTTGCTGGGGAAGGCTTCTTGGACTACAGAGTATGGGATGCTATTTGGGCCCATCAGAGGGGACTGGATGTGGGTCAGCTCATGATGACTCCCCTAATTTGTATGTAGTGTTGCAATGAGAAATCGCCGTCCTCCCATCCCCTGGGATTAACTGGGTATTCTGCAAAGATGGGAGATGGTGTTGGTGGGTGGGAGGAGTGGCTCCTAACTCCTTGGGGGGGCCCGGGCATGGCAAGAATAAACAACTAAGTCACAGGTTTCTATCCCTTGGAGAAAGGACACAGGATGTTCAGGGCTCCTGGGTGACCTCTAGGTTTTACCAATTTTTTAGCTTGTGTAACCTCCCTGAACCTCAGATTCGTCATCAATAGAAGAGGAGGGTAGAAGAGAATGGAGCATGGTGTGGTGTTTAACTCAGATCCTGGTCGTGGCTGGGTAGCTCAATTGGTGAGTGTCATCCTGACACGTCAAGGGTGTGGGTTCAATTTCAGGTCAGGGCACATACAAGAAGCAACCAGTGAATGTACATGTAAGTGGAACAAAAAACTAATGTTTCTCTCTAAAATCAGTACATTTTAAAAATTAAAAAAAAAAAAAAAAGGAATGCACTTCCTGGAGCTGCTTTGCAGTGGTCAGTTGGGAAAGCCACTTACATTTGAGCCTAAGTTTCCTTTTTTGAAACTTGAGAATAGCCCTGGCTGTGTGGCTCAGTTGGTTGGAGCATTGTCCCCGTACACCAAAAGGTTGCAGGTTTCTTTCCAAGTCAGGGCATATAACTAGGTTGTGGGTTTGATCCCTTTTTGGGATATGAATGGGAGGCAACTGACCTGTTTCTCCTTCACAGTGATGTTTCTCTCTCTACCCTCTCTGTAAAATCAATAAACATATCCTAGAGTGAGGATTGAAAAAAAAAGTTGGGAATGAAAAAAAAGCAACATAAATTGGGGACAATAATTGCACAAGGGCAATGCTTCTTATGGGGGAGGGATCCTTTTAAGCAGGTGCATAGGGACTGAGGCTAGAGTGGAATTACCAACTCCTCAGCCCACAAATACCTCCAGATATGAACTTGTTGAGTAGAAAGGCAGACAGGAGCCTGCATTTTTAAAAGAAGCTTAATATACTTTTAAAGGTGAAATTCACAACAAAATCAACCATTTTACAGGGAATGATTCAGTGGCACTTTGTCCATTCACAGTGTTGCGCAACCATCATCTCTCTCCAGTTCTAAAACATTTTCATCACTCCAAACTGAGCCACTTACTCATTCATCAGCCTCCCCATTTTCCTTTTCCTCATAGCCCCAGCAACCACCAATCTGCTTTTTTTTAGTATTTGTAAAAATTAAAACCAATTTACATTAGGTAAATTCATACTTTTTAGTTTTTGGTTGTGTGAATTTCGACAAATATGTACAGTTGTATAACCACTACCACAATGACATAAATTAGTTCTCTCATCCCGGGTGTCCCCACCACGTCCCTTTGTGGTCCACCTAGCTCCTGGTAACCATTGATCTATTCCTACAGGTTTGCCATTTCCAAAATGTTATAAATGGAATCACACAATATTTGGCTTTTTGAATCTGGCTTCTGTTATCATTGTAACTCATTTTCTCTCTTTTTGGGTATATCTAGCTAATTTACGTGTTGAACACGTGTCTGAGGGGAGGGGCTGAGCTAGGATATGGGTGGGGACGCCCCTTCCCAAGTCCAGTCCAGCAACCTCTTTTGGCCAGGTGGAAGGTGCACCCCACGGACTCCAAAGCACTTGGTTCTCTAGAGGGTCAACAGAGACTGCTTCCGTACCACTACTCCTGGTCCAGCCAGGGTGGAGGCTCCACCTTCTTCCGGTGGCCCGCGGACTGTTCAGTTCCTATAGGCCAGAGGCAGGGCTTGGGGTGGGGCCAAGGAAATTCCCCCCTCCTCCGACCAGTGGTGGCGCACCCTGGAGCTGCAGGCAGTCGCACCAACAAGCAGCGGAAGTCAGGGGCACCGCCCCCTGGCCTCGCCTATTCCCGGACTCGCCCCGCTCCGCCCTCGGCGCGCATGCTCGGTGGCACCCCAGGCAGTCTGGCGCGCACTCGTCAGGCTCCGCTACAGCTCCCGCCCCTGGCAGCGCGTGCCCACGCACGCCCCGCGATCGAATGCAGCAAACGTGACGCTTCCGCGTGTCTTCCGCGCGGAGGCGCTCGCCGACTTCCTTCCGCAGCTGCCAGCGCACCTGGAGGACGCTCTGTGTGGCCTCCCTTGGAGCCCGCGTTGTTGGGCGGAAGTCCGGCGTGTGGCACACGTGACTAACGGCGTTCTGGAGGCCGAGGTATAAAAGGTGACAATTTTAATAACACGAATACTTTTCGTGCTATTAATATTAATACTTTCAGCCCATAGTATCAGAAACATTGTCGTTTCAGCTAAAATAAGGAATGAAAGGAACTACACACAAAAAATACTTTTGCCGAGTCTTGGAGATGGGTCCGGGGCCTAGGAGCTTGGTCCGGGTCAACGGCTACGCGTGGGGTGGTGCAGTCTAGCCTTCGTAGCACTTGTGAGCCAGACCTGGTGGTTAGAAAATGCACAATGCGATGTAATATGCAGAAGGTAGCCTGGGAGGAGGAAGAACTGGAGGTGTGGAAATGTTACCACACTCATGGGGTTGGCTGCTTGGGGTCCTCTAGTAAAAAAAAAACAAACACAAAAAACAAAAAAACGAGAGCAAGGTAGTTTTATTTACTTGGGGCAAGTAAAGGGGACGGGTTCATAGTCAAAGCTCTGCCTCCTCCAAGGGAAGTGCAGCCCTTGCTTGTATAACTATTTGGTCAGTTACATATTGATTTCTTCTTTATAGTTGGCTATTTTCATTCCTTGATTTCCTGTCACCTCATCCACTTTACAACTACCGCTACAAAAATACTGTGTTGTACTTTAACAGTTAGCAAGAAATAACATTTAGAACTGCCCAAACCTTAAGACCCTTGTCCTGTCTAACATGAATGGATCATAGAGGACTTCCAAGTTATACTAAGAAGCTCAGACTTTATTTTTTGTGGAAGGATGTGGATCTAGGAGAGACACTATTAACCCGACAATTAACAAAACGTGTTTTGAGAACCGTTTCCAGAAGTATTTACTGTATAATGTACACTCAGAAGAGGGAGTAACTTGTGTTTAGTTCCGCGAATTTTCACAAACACTACACAACCATGTATCCAGCACCCCACCGAACCCTGAAGTGGTCTTTCTTTTAAAACTTAAAAAAAATTAAATAATTATAGAAATGTTCTGAGAGGTCGTGTGCACCCTTGACCCAGCTTTCCCCGGTGTTAATATCTTGTATACCCGAGGTAACAACGTGGAAACCAGGTAATTGTTATTGATGCAGTCCACAAGGCTTATTCAAGTTTTTACCAGTTTCACATGCTCTCATTTATGTATTTGTGTACATAGTTCTGTACTATACATTGCACCAGCAGTGAATGAGAATTCCAGCTGCTCTGCATCATCACCAACACTTGATATTGTCAAATTAATACAGTCTTTTTAAAATAGTCATTCTGGTAGGTGTACAGTGGTTTTAATTTCTATCATCATACATTAGTTTTGTCTATTTTAGATTTTTAAAAAAAAGATTTTATTTACTTATTTTTAGAGAGTGGGGAAGGGAGGGAGACAGAGAGGGAGAGAAACTTGGATGTATGAGAGAAACATTGATCAGTTCCCTCTTCCGTGCCCCCAGCTGGGGACCTGGCCTGCAACCCAGGCATGTGCCCTGACTGGGAATCGAACTAGTGACCTTTTAGTTGTCAGGCCGGTCCTCAGTTTACTGAGCCACACCAGCGAGGTCTCTATTTTAGATGTTTATACAAATCATACAGTATGTAGTTGACCCTTTAACAAAAAGGGGGAGTTAGTGGCACTGATCCGCCGCACAGTCAGAAACTGTGTACAACTTCTTCCCCAAAACCTAACTATAGTCATCCCTTAGTGTCTATTGGGAATTGATTGCAGAACACCCCCACCCCCTTCTGTGGATATCAAAATCTGAGGATACCGAAGACTCTTATATAAAATGGTGTAGGATAGTGCATACAGTTGGCCTGCTGCATCTATTGACTCCTAACCCCAGATTGAGTACTGTTTTTCTGATCCGCAGTTCGTTGAATCCAAAGATGCGAATCCCAGGGATATGGACGGCCTATGGTATATTCATTGAAAAAAATCCTCATGTAAGTGGACCTGCACAGTTCAAACCTATGTTGTTCAAGGGTCAACTCTGTATACTCTTTTTGTGTGGCTTATTTTGTTCAACATAATGTCTCTGAGATTCATTTATGCTTTAAAAAAAAATGTTCATTTTTAGAGAGAGGGGAAGAGAGGGACAAAGAGAAGGAGAGAAACATTGATAGGTTGCCTCTTGCACACCCCCAAATGGGGACCTGGCCTGCAACCCAGGCATGTGCCCTTGCTGTGAATCAAATAGGCGACCTTTTGGTTCGCAAGCTGGTGCTTAATCCACTGAGCCATGTGAGTCAAGGTCATTTATGTTTTTTTTGGTCTATCAGTAGTTTGTTTATTTTTATTGCTAAGTTTATTCCACTATGTGAATATTCCACAATTTGTTTAGCCATTCACCTAGTGATAGACATTAGGTTGTTTCTAACTTATAGCTACTGCGAGTGTAGTTCAGTGGATACTATCCCCTAAATCAATTGTGGCAATTTCCCCTCTGCCATCGATAAGTAAGGTGGTAATGTAGCAGTGGAGGATAAGATACATCCTAAGCATGTGCCATTGATTATCTTTGGTGGTGGATTCTTTGGGAGGGGGCTGGGCATTCTTGATACTTGCTGGCCTCCCTGCCCTATTTCAGGGGTCTCTGTTATAGATAAAACTCATGAGAAAT